TTTTACTTGAAAAAGACGTTAATGGTAATCTAACAACCTTGCAGAAGCTTCTATATGTGACGTCATAGGATATAAACATAGAATATAATGGCAATGTCCATGTTTTGCCATGGAAAACCTAAAATACGTGTCGAATAAAAAAGTAAAATAGGAGGTGCACAATGGCAATGTGTAATCAAGATTCTGTGAAAGTTTCATTAAATTTCACTCAGTAGTATAAGATGAGTAGCGGATGAGAGATAAAGCGTAATAGTCGGATGGACGGACGTACAGACGAACGGAAATCCCGATTACTATATACCCTCCTACTTTTCAAGCGGGGGCCGGGGGGGGGGGGGTATAACGAGGTACATTATTGACAAGCAAGTTGACGAAACAATAATATCAGTAGTCTCGTTTAAAGTCATCATTTCGTAAGTTCTATGGTCGATACAATGACCCTGTCAACAAATACAATTTATCATCGAGTCAAATGCTGACTGACGTTTTTCATACCAATTGTTAGTCCACTATTATACCCCCCGCTTGAAAAGTGGGAGGGTATATAGTAATCGAGATTTCCGTCCGTCCGTCCGTCCGACCGTCCCTCTGTTACGCTTTGGGGTACCCATCTCTTATCCGCAACATGGACATTGCAATTATATCATTACCTATGACGTCATATATATATATATATATATATATATATATATATATATATATATATATATATATATATATATATATATATATATATAGCAACACATGGACATTATGGGAGGCGGGGGGTATCATTTAGTCAGCTCATTGCTAGTTTTAGAAAATGTTCATACGAAGAGCATGCTCTTGCTTATCGAATTTTCAACAGAATCTATAATATTTATGAAATTCCGACGCCAGAAGGATCGGGGTTCCTTATATCTAGGACCTTTTAAAATAAGTGATCTAAGGTCCTCATTAACTATATTTACGTCACCTGTGATAACGTGTCCAGTGGGACTATAGTTATAGGGCGAAGAAGAACATGAATGCGATGGAGGATTATGTTTCAGATACTTGTTATCCAGGCCATGTAAAGTTTTTAGCTCACCGGAGCCGAAGTCTCAAGTTAAATTTTCTGCTCAAAAGAATGATTGCACTTAGTGTACAAAAAGTGGCCCCCGGTGAATTGCGCAAAAATAATAGAAACTAGCCTAATGAAGTTAATAAAACAATTCTTCTAGGTCTTAATCGCTATTTTGTAAAATTACAGAACTTAAAAGTGAGTAAAATTAAAGAACGAGGATGTGTTTTGTAAGAGGGGTCAATGCAAATCAAGAATCTCCATTGTTATTCAAAGTTATTCCAATTTATAGAGCTGAAATACATAGTGAGCGCATGCTTGCCCAAATTTCTCAAAAGGACAGAAGGTGTAGAACTGTTAGAAATTCAACATATTTAAGGGAGAATTTTTGGCAAGCCTGCGCTCGGGGTAAACTTTTTGAAAAAAGGTACAAAACTTCCAGAAGCCATTATAACTGGCTAAATATTGCATGTTTTCAATCGATCGATGAAATGTCCCGCCTACTCCGAATATTAATGTGACACAATTAAAACCGAACTCGGACAAGCGCAGCATTCCGGAATTAACACTCAGTATATGGCTTTTTAATAACCATTTATAAAACGAAGGCGCCGTTTTCAGTGTGAATTTTTGCAAGTAATATACAACAAAGATAGCAAAGTATGAGTTAGGTGTAAAATTATTAAGATTTGAGTTAATTTGATAAAATTAGAGGGGTCCAAAAAAGGGGTCACGGCACTATGCTTAAGTGGAAACATACTATATACTTTGTCCGTTGCCTGTCGTCGTAGTCGTCGTTGTTGTCGTTGTAAACTTTTCACATTTTCATCTTCTTCTCAAGAAACACTGGGCCATTTTCAAATAAACTTGCCATAAAGTATCCTTAGGTGAAGGGGATTCAAGTTTGTTCAAATGAGGGGCCATACCTTCTTCCAAAGGGAGATAATTATGAATAATGAAATATTAATGGCATTTTTAAAAAAAATCTTCTGAGGAACCAATAGGCCAGGAAAGATGAAACTTATGTGGAAGCATCCTCAGGTAGTGTAGATTCAAGTTTGTTTAAATCATGACCACCGAATGTAGGATGGGGCCATAATGGCTGATCAAAGTTTTACATAGGAGTATATAGTGAAATTCTTTAAAAATCTTCTCCAGAACCACTGGGCCAGGAAAGATGAAACTCATGTGGAAGCATCCTCGAATAGTGTAGATTGAAGTTTGCTCAAATCATGACCCCGGGGGTAGGGTGGGGCCACAATGGCCGATTTAAGTCTTACATAGGCATATATAGGAAAAATCTTTAAAAATCTTCTTCTCAAGAACCACTGGGCTATGAAAGATGAAACTCATATGAAATCATCCTTAGGTAGTGTAGACTCAAGTTTGTTCAAATCATAACCCCCGGGGTTAGGGTGGGGCCAAAATGGCTGATCAAAATTTTACATAGGACTAGATAGGGAAATCTTTTGAAATCTTCTTCTCAAGTACTTCAAAGCCATGATTAGTTATATTTATATGGAATCATCCTCAGGCAGTGTAGATTCTAGTTTGTTCAAACCATAACCCCCAGGGATAGGGTGGGGTCACAATGGGGGATCCAAGTTTTACTTTAAAATATATTTAAAATCTTCTTCTCAAGAATAGCCATGATTAGTGGTACTAGTATTTATATGGAAGCATTTTCAGGTTGTGTAGAATAATAAAGCTTGTTCAAATGATAACCCCCAAGGGTAGGTAGGAGCCACAATGGTGAATCAAAGTTTTACATCGAAAAATAAAGGGGAAAATCCCAGAACAGAAAAGCTATGTTTAGTCATATTGACATGTAAGCATCATCATGTATAAAAGATTTAAATTTATTCAAATCATGGCCCTTTAGGGTACGGAGGGAAGTAATGGGGAATCAAATTCAAATAAGTATGAAGTTATATATAGGAAGAAAATGTTTTTAAAAAATCTTTTTATCAAGAACAGCTAAGTAATATGCTGTATAAATATGAAAGCATTCTCAAGTAGTATTAAATGCAAGCCCCCTCCCCCTTCCTTCAGTAAACTTTTTAGTTCTGATCTGATTTGTGCTTTTTCCTAGCCATATGCTCAGGTGAGCGATATGGCCCCTGGTCCTCTTGTTTTGTAAATGAAGTGTTGAATTATAAACACTGCCTCTTTTACTTAAGATATGAAGTTCAGATTTTTAAGAACTGGTAAAAACTAATTAATTTAACTGATTTAAGCCCACCTGAGATGAAAGCTCAAGGTAGCTTTTCTGATCACCCGTTGTCCGTCGTCCATCTTGCTGTTTGTCCGTCCGTCTGTAAACTTCTCACATTTCCAACTTCTTCTCAAGAACCACTGGGCAAATTTTAACCAAACTTGATAAAAAGCATCCTTGGGTAAAGTGGAGTTTAAATTGTGAAAATGAAGGGCAAAAATAGAGTGGGGTCATTAAAAATCTTCCTCTTAAGGACCACTGGGCCAGAAAAGCTGAAACTTAGTTGTGGTAGTGTAGATTTTAAATTGTTCAAATCATGATCCCCGGGGCGTACTGCGGGACCACACTAGAGAACCAAACTTTTACATTGACATGTTTTAGAAAAATCTTTAAAAATCTTCTTCTCAAGACTGAACCAATGGGCTTGAAAAGCTTAAACAAATGTGGAATCATCCTGGGATAGTGTAGATTCTAAATTGATTAAATCATGACCCCGGGGGTAGGGCGAGGCTGCAATAGGGAATCAGAGTTTTACATTGAAATTTAGAGGAAAAACTTCTTCTCAAGAACCACTGGGCCAGAAAATGTAAAACTTATGTGGAAGCATCCTGTGATAGTATAATTCTAAATTGTTTAAATCATGATCCTTTGGAATAGGGCGTTGTCAGAATGGGGAACCAAACTTTTGCAATGAAATATATAGGAAAAACCTTCAAATATCTTTTTATCGACGACCACTGGGCCTGAAAAGCTGATGCTTATGTTGAATCATCCTGGGGTAGTGAAGATTCTAAATTGTCCAAACCATGACCCATGAGTGAAGGACGGGTTCAAAATACATGTAGGTAATTCAAGGTTGGGTTTAGTTAAGAACAGCCTGGCTAAAGTTACTCAGGTGAGCGATGTGGCCCATTGGCGTTGGTGTTTTTAGAGCCTAGAAATTTGACATTCTATTTCATTTTCAAAATCCACATGATTTTTTTGAGAAGGTGATAGGAGAAGTAAAGCTTAAAGCTGAACACGACTCGTAAATAGGCATACGCCATTTTCAATAGCATTATCTACGATACATCAATACTAGGGTATACTCGTCGCATTCGTTACACCTGACTGCTTTTATTGTCACGGGTATCGGCGTGGAATGGCGACCCGTGTTCGTGCTGGTTATCTTGCATTACCCTTGTTTATATTTTATTTGCAGTTACGTTTATCTGTGTTGTTTGTATACTGCACTGACCTGTACAACTATAATTGTAAATTGATTTGGTACCTTATTTTCCTGCATTAGACGAAGTATTACGCTATTATTCTCGCTACCGTCGAGTTCTGTATAGCATACGTCCGTCTTCGCCGGTGTCGACTGATTACACTGAACAGTGACTAAGTTCTGCTCTATTTATAGGGTTCTGCAGAGGAGCGAGACTCGAGAACAAAAATGGCGGACAGATTCCTTTTACGAGTCGTGTTCAGTTTTAAACAAAAATGTTTAAGTATGGCGTCGAGCTCTAGATCCCGTAGTTCAACTAGCATTGGTCCGATTAAGATGGCCATCGAATGCATTTTAGCGGACGCCTGATTTAAGTCAATACCAAAACTTTCCCGGTAGTTTTCAAAATTGAACATTCTATTGGAATAAAAGTGACTGACTTAAAGTTTATTATATACATTGTCAAACGACTAAAAATGATAATGATAAAATGAGCTATGTACAATGTTCTTAAAGATTAAAATGATACCATAGAAGAGTCTATGTACACACAATAACAACGAATATAAATACGTCTATAAAATATCTGCTCTTGCACATCAGAAATATAATTAAAGAATTAAAAGTATAGAAAACAGGGATATTAGGGGGAAAATTTCGGCCATTGTTCGCGCACCTGCACTGCGTCCATCAACAATATTGCCCGGACGGCCTACGCTGTTTGTGGTGGGCATAGGAGCTGGAGTAGTTGTTTGGGGAGTTGTGGTTCTGCTGGTGGATATTGGAGCTGAAGTAGTTATTGTGCACTTTGAGTCTCTGTTAGGATTATCTTCGGCACAATCCAAGCTAGTAACTGTTTGGGGAGTTGTGGTTCTGCTGGTGGATATTGGAGCTGGAGTAGTTGTTGTGCACTTTGAGTCTCTGTTAGGATTATCTTCGGCACAATCCGAGCTAGTAACTGTTTGGGGAGTTGTGGTTCTGCTGGTGGATATTGGAGCTGGAGTAGTTGTTGTGCACTTTGAGTCTCTGTTAGGATTATCTTCGGCACAATCCGAGCTAGTAACTGTTTGGGGAGTTGTGGTTCTGCTGGTGGATATTGGAGCTGGAGTAGTTGTTGTGCACTTTGAGTCTCTGTTAGGATTATCTTCGGCACAATCCAAGCTAGTAACTGTTCCGTACTCCGAACTTGCTGAAAATTTTAAAAACTCCTTTTGTTAATCCGATGACTGAATGAATTTTTTTTTAAATCTTGATGTAATACCACATCAACCTAATTTAATTATATACAATTAAGTTCTGGAGTAGTAAACAAATATATAAATGAGGATAATGTATATGTCATAATTTATGTGTACGATTAATCATGTTTGTTCGTTACATCGTGCGTGGCGCAGTGGATAGAGCGTCTGCCCTAGAGTGACGAAGTAAGGAGTTGATCCTTACGTCGCAGATTCGAATCCCACTGTGGCACGTGGAGACCGGTCCTTCGGATGAGACCGTATAAACCGAGGTCACGTGTCGCAGTACGTGTTGGCACGAAAAAGATCCCTCCCTGCTCAATGGCCCTGAGTGCCGAGTGTAGGACAAAATTTACACGGGCAAGTGGTGGCGTCTCAATATGAGTGAAAAATTCTCGAGAGGGACGTTAATCAATATACAATCAATCAATCGTTACATCGTATCTTCCTTCTCGTTTAAGTTTCCATGTCTTTCTATTCAAATATACCACAAACATTTTGTATTTTTTTTATGTTATCAATAAAATATAAAATCAATATACATATAAATATATATATATATATTTATATATAACACGTCATTGGATGATAATGAACCTACATTGTGTTTTTTCTGTTAAGGTAGATGTAACATCCTCTATAGGAGTATGTGTAGAAATATCCATCGTAGAGGACCTGCACCCCGCACATCCAGTACGTTGTTGACATTGGACAGGTTGGTACCAGTACATTATCAGAGCAACGAGAGATATTAGGCTTCTCATGGTTCCTCTACAATGTACTTTCTTGAAGATCGTGGTAACCTAAATGATGAATTCATGAATGAAAAACTACCGCACGGAAGTAATGATCAAATGAATGTTGGAAACACTAAATCAAGGTCATTTGGTCAAAAACATTTATACTCATGGAAAAATTCAGTGATTAAGTACACATATAACATCACGGCTTTAGCACCAAATGTTCAAAAATTTGACCGAACTCCAAAGTCAAAGGCTCAAAATGTTGCATCTTAAAGGTCTTCTCACAATAATAATAAATACTTGTGTAAATACGAAATACCTAGTTATATCAAAAGTTATGGGCTAAGTTGAAGCTTTTACTGTCAAATAGAACTGTAGATAGGAAGAAAGTCGGGCAAGCGGAGCAAAATTGTACACAGTACCTCAGATTCTTCGATTAAGGGGAATCGCAATTGAGAGAAAGAGTAAACGCGATGAAAAGAGAGAAAGATGGGAGAGTGGTCATGGATTCATTTTTTCATTTGCAGGGCATTTAATTTCAACATAGTTTTATTAAAAGGAGTCCAACGTGGTCAATGATTCAATTTTCCTAGACAATATTGACTTTTATATGCCTTTTTTCAGAAACACAAAATTGAAGTCAAACATGGAATTTTTATTGTGTTAATCATGTTAATGTGTCATACAATTTATTCGATTCTTAATATTTGATAGTGTTTATTTATATTCGCTTACTCATTTACAACACCCTACCCCAACTCCTGTCTCTCGATCTGTCGTTAGTCGCCACCCCGACCCCTTCCGTGTTGTTCTTCCCTTGTTGTAATAGAAAATTCTTGAAAATTACATCTTAGTAGAAATATTACAAGAACTTGTATGTACAACTTTTAAACATAAGAAATGTACGCAGATGGAAATAAGGAATAAAACTAGTGATTTTATTGCTCTACCGATTTAAATTGCTGCAATGCATGTTTAAGATCACCGAAAACGAAAATTCAAACATGCTAACATTTTTAAAGCTTCAAAATTAAAGCTCTCTGAAAAAAAATATTGACAGTCCGTAGAGCTACAGTGCCACCCATTGAAAAACTATACATATTGCGCCCAAAAATATGTGCTTTTTTCGATTTATTTCTCCATGTTTTTAAAAGTGCAATCTCAAAATATTAGTAAACGTGTGTTTTTAACGTATTTTTCAAGGTTTCCAAACAAACCACAACAAAACATTCCTCCTTATAACTTGTTAAAAGCTCTTCCTGACCTTAAATGGAGACCGTCGAACATTTCGCTTATTTATACTGCCATTTTGGTTTGCAAGATAATTCGGTCGAACCCGTTTTGTGTAGATGTCAACTGCCCACAACAAAACAATCCTTATATTTTTTTTATTCTTGGCCAAAATATTCGAGTAGAACCTGGTTTGGGTCAGTTTACGCTTTATAATCCGCGAAGCATTTCTTTTACGTGACTGCAAGAAGAAACTCAAGTACACTTTTAAAAATTTTGAATGGAACGTTTCTTTGCATTGCATACTTCAGCAAGGGACATGTGATTTAAGATATATTGATTGAAAAAAAACCCTGAAACCCTATACACATGTTTATTAATCGACACTTTGGAATTCTTATAAAAGAAAATCATGTAATATATGATAGACTTTTAACTGCCAGGGAACGTTTCATGTTCACCCATAACGTTGAGAAGCTATACAAATGGGGGCACATTAAAGATTTCAAGTACATATGCTTTTTATTAGCTCACCTGAGCTTTTTAGCTCACCTGAGCCGAAGGCTCAAGTGAGCTTTTCTGATCACATTTTGTCCGGCGTCCGTCTGTCTGTCCGTCCGTCTGTCTGTCCGTCTGTCTGTAAACTTTTCACATTTTCGACTTCTTCTCAAGAACCGCTGGGCCAATTTCAACCAAACTTGCAACAAAGTATCCTTGGGTACAGGGGATTCAAGTTTGTTCAAATGAAGGGCCACGCCCTCATCCAAGGGGAGATAATTGGGAATTAATGAAAATTTGGTGGCATGTTTTAAAAATCTTCTTCTCAAGAACCACTGTGCCAGGAAAGATGAAACTTATGGGGAAACATATTCAGGTAGTGTAGATTTAAGTTTGTTCAAATCATGACTCCCGGGGGTAGGGCGGGGCCAAAATGGCCGACCAAATTTTTACATAGAAATATAAAGGAAAATTCTTTAAAAATCTTCTTCTCAAGAATGACAAAGCCATAATTGATCATATTTATATGGAAGCATGTTCAGGTAGTGTAGTTTCAAGTTTGTTCAAATCATGATCCCCGGGGGAAGGGCGGGGCCAAAATGGCCGACCAAATTTTAACATAGAAATATATTAGGAAAATTCTTGAAAAATCTTCTTCTCAAGAATGACTAAGCCATAATTCATCATATTTATATGGAAGCATGCTCAGGTTGTGCAATTCAAGTTTGTTCAAATCATGACCCCCGGGGGTAGGGCGGGGCCAAAATGGCCGACCAAAGTTTTACATAGAAATATATACGAAAATTCTTTAAAAATCTTCTTCTCAAAAATAACAAAGCCATAATTCATCATATATATATGGAAGCATGCTCAGGTAGTGTAGTTTCAAGTTTGTTCAAATCATGACCCCCAGGGGTAGGGCGGGGCCAAAATGGCCGACCTAAGTTTTACATAGAAATATATAGGAAAATTCTTCAAAAATCTTCTTCTCAAGAATGACAAAGCCATAATTCATCATATTTATATGGAAGCATGCTCAAGTAGTGTAGATTCAAATTTGTTCAAATCATGACCCCCAGGGGTAGGGCGGGGCCAAAATGGCCGACCAAAGTTTTTAAAGATATATATAGGAAAATTCTTTAAAAATCACTTTCTAAAAAATAGCAAATCCATGATTGGTCATGGGACTACTTTTGGATTTAAACTTTACAATAAAAAGCCATTTTCTACTTTTTCCTACCCTTAGTGCTCAGTTGAGCGATGTGGCCCATGGGCCTCTTTTTTAAGTTTCAAATGCAGTAAACAAATCTTGTCGTTTTATAGTGATGGGATAAAGGTCTTGGGTAGTGTTACAAAGGAGTTGAATAGGCAAAGTGTACATGTACATGGTATGCTAGTTCCCTAAAAACATGGATAGAATTTATCTACATATGTAAGCTGTGGGAGATGTGATAAAAAGATGTAAGATACTACATGCATCTCCCGCCGGAAAAAACAAAGTTTTTTTTAAGAAACCTCTCTACACTGCACACTAAAGACTTCTGATTCTAAGGTATTTTTCTGCAGTTAGAGTGATCTGCCCATTAAAGTTAATTCTAAAAAATATAAATTTACACAATATTACTCAATATGTAATCAATTCAAGTATTCTCAAAATTTTAAAAGGCCAGGATAAATTAACTGAACATATTATTTACATGTATTTTCTCTACTGAGTAATTAACAGCGATATCTATTCACAGATACTGTGTTGTCTCTAAACATTTTTCTCGGGGGTAAATGCCACGCTCCATACATTGAAAATTAGATAGATACGCACAATATAAGCTCCTTTTTGCAATAATTTTTTCTCAATGTCCAAAAAATATTTTGCACTGGTGTAGAGAGGGTCCTTAAAGTCTAACAAGGCATTTACTTGCAATAAAATCTTCCAGTAAGCACTCTCATTTAAGACGCCTGTCATTGGAAAACAAATATCCATCCTTATACAATGTATCTAGAGAAATCTGGGACGATATAATATATATAAATCTTCTATATTATTTAGGGAAGGGGTACATAATTTTTTTTGTTGCTTTAAGTGTATATAATTATGTCCTTTTAATTTAAATATTACAATTTTCTTACCTTACTCCAGGAAAAAGATAAACCTCTTGTTCATTTACTCTCTTTACATTATTATTTTACATATAGAATTTCAGCTTTAAGGACGTCATCTTGCACAATTTTCTGTTTTCATTCGTGGTAGATCACGACTGAGTTTACCTATTATATAGTCCATTTAACAGCAGTCCCAACGAAGCATGAATTTCATTTTGAAAAAAATACTCGTACTTATTTACAGCCGAGCATGATTTTAATAAAATACAGTATACAGATTTTCACAATATGATAAAAATTCTAGAGAATCATGTTTTTATCAATATTCTCTATGAATCAACCCTATACAGAGTTATTTGCATAGAAATACTGAATATGGACAATGGATTTTAAAGCATGTGTTACTTCTTTCAAAATCTAAACAAAATAAAAAAGTTTAAATGGAGAGCTATCGTCCTGGAATGCACAGCTTGTTGAATAACATTAAAAAAGCTCATTTTATATATATTGTATTATCTTTTTTATCAACATCCTTGTCTAGGATGATAACATTATAACGCATAGTTACTTTGATAATATCAGTTTCAAATAGTGTAACACTGGTGTTTATTGCTATGCACACAACCTTTCGAAAAGAGTTGGGCCCTATAATGATGCGAACCCTTTAGATCAGATTTCACCATGCAGTTCTTAGTATTTGTATAGGGAAAAAAATTATTCATAAACTTGTACCTGAATAGAAGCTGTAGGAAAAAACAGAGTTTGACGCACTTGCTACATATCTGCAGAATAAAATAGATATACTTATGGCAAACTCAAAAACCTTACCTTTACTGTAAACATGATGACTTTATCTTGTCTTTGTCAACTTTCCTTGATGGTAATGTTGCAATAGAGGAAAAAAATTACCCAAATATTAAGTTTACGTCTTCCATAAGGTGAGCAAAACATATTTGACCTATTATAGTACGTTCTCAAATGAGACAGGCTTTAGACAAATAAGGTGATGATACAAGGATACCAACAATATTTTAATGTCAGCATTATGGCTTATTCTATACATTGTTATAAAAGATCTAAGATGCAAATGCAATCTGTCGCCAAATCAATAATGATCATTGATATAATTTTACAAATTGTTAGTTATATGCCATTATTTTCATATAGATTTTGCTACATAATTTCCCATTTATTCGATCATGACAAGAGGTTTACTCCTCCACGGAATTTGATGTCACTTCTGTTTTAAGAGGTCCCTGTTGGAAATATCTACAGGGAGTACATTAAATGGGATGTCTGCGCATGATCAAATTGTAAAACTTCACATTTCACTATAAGCGCAGGAGGACATCTGAGCGGAATTCACCATAATGCATTTATCTAACTCCGCTTGAGAAGTGGGAGCGTATACAATGATCAAGATGTCTGTCCTGTCTTCTTTTACGCTTTGGGGTATCCATCTTTTATTTGCAACTCCTCCTACATACCTGCATGAAAGAGCAATGTATGATAAGTGTCCCAAATGGCCCCTTAAAATGAATATCTTAATTTTTCTATATAGCTTTAATCTGTACAGCTATACATGCAACCTTTATTTGGTATTTTCAATTCGATGGAAATGCCGTTGATTTAGAAATATGACACAATAAACCTCACGTTTTCCCGCAAATTTAGCATACTTTGTATAAAACTATACTTAGTTTCAAGCAGTTTTCTTCCAGAAAATATTGAGTGCAGACTAGAACAAACTTAATATTTTTTACCAAAGATGTATCTATTCAATACTATTAAATTAGTGACAGAAAAATTATGTATGTTCTACACTGCGCTCTATGTTTCCCATAAGAAAAAACATCAAGAAAAAAGCACAGTGTTGGCTTTTTTGGTTAGATATAGCAAACATAGCATTATTCCCCATGTCATTTACAGCCAGGGAGTGCATATAAATGTGAAAAGTATACTAGTATTGGAAATAGGGATGTCAACGAATATTCGAATATTCGAATATTCATTCGATGAGTTGATATTCGAATATAAATTTATGATTCGAATATTCGTTTTTAAGTATACAAGCATTAAAAAGAGAGAAAAACCTGGAAAGTTTTATTAGAAATTGAATCAAGTTTGTACAAAATAAAAAAAAACACTCCTCTTGGATTACCTTAAAGGTGTGAAGTGTGTATCTAAGAGTAGTTTATTTATTTGTTCACTTAATTAGTGGTATAATAGTGTCCAGTACTAACAATCAGCTTTTATTGTTGTAAGGACCCAGTTTTACAGTGAACACACAGACTTCTTATTTATCTAATTTAATATCATTAAAAATCATTATCAGGAAATTATAATTTGCAAAAAGTAATTGCTTTTAATATTTCACCGTTAGATAATTGTTCTGCTTGGTAAAAATTTGTAGGAGTTATCAGTGCAGACTTTGGTAAGACGATCAATTAATCTGGAACATATTAAAGACACTTTTGAATTTTCAAAAAAAAAAAGAACGATCATTACATTTTGAATGTATACTATTCAATAATGCAAAAAAATACATAATTGTAGTGCATTTTTTGAACTCTACATGAGTTTTTATTCCAAAATAATGGCAAAAACCTATACTGTTTGACAGGAGAGTGAAGATATATATTTAATAATGCAAGATGTATTTATTTTATCGAATATTCGAATATATTCGAATATATTCGAATACTCCTATCGAATATTCGAATATCAATTATTGACAATTTTGACATCCCTAATTGGAAATATTTCTAATAAAATCTCTTTATATAATTTCTTTGCTCACACCATTGCAGTTATAAGACCAAATATCATTCAAAAAATAATGATTCATTGCATGCTTAATTAAACAAAGTTATAGACCGAGAATCTCCGTAAAAATGGTTTGAAATCTTTATGAAGACTTTTATTAAATAATAAATACAATGTTTTAGAAGTATTTCTAATGATGTTAAATTCATGATTCATTTTATCCTTGTGATTTGAGGGATAATACTTCATTTGATTACATATGTATAACATTCTATATTCGACTTTCATGGTACACTAATCGGTAGAGACGTTGGTTCAAACCTCTGCCACGACTGACATATGTCAATAAAAGAATTGTAGCAGCTGTTTCTTCGGCAAGCGCTGGGTGAATACCTTAAAGTGATTGTAGCGGGTCGTTCGGATGTCATACCTAAAAGACCGGTGTCACGGTAGGCGTTGACAGGATGAAGATTCGTATATGTATCTCTAAGACTTTAAGTGCCAAGTATATGTGGTCTAAATTTGAACCCCTTCACCGATAGGTGGTGACGTACGTCTTTTTATGAGTGTAAAATATCGAATGGAACGTACATTGTAGGCATTTGAACAATCGGCTCAACTAATCACCATTAAATTTTTGACTTAAACACAATTTGTATCTCGTATTGACACATACATTTAAAAGAAATTCCTTGCCCAACGCGACTTCTATCATTCTCCGTAGAACAATACTTCTGTTATCTTTTTTTCACAAATTTTCGGTGATTTTAGAGCACTTACTTGCATGCTTACATTGTATCTTTTCAGTTATTATCAAAAACATGGTACACAATGATCCAAAAAAAGTGTAAATACATTCATCACACTGAGAAACACATACATGTAACTTGAAGACATGGGGATTGCTGCTGAGACATAATACTAGCCACAACTGATTGCTAACCCCCCACTCAGAATTCTACACTACGCAATTCAATTCAATTTATTCACTCTAAACCATGTACATAGTGTAAATGGTACATGAGCAATATTTAGCACACTAATCAGAGTAACAAAACACGATGAATTATTTGAAAGTTGAAAAACAAATACATTGTCACAATAACGAAAAAAAATAATTGATAAATATATCATAATGAGTGAAAATAAAACTTTTGTTTGTTATAATTTAAAATAGAATAATTTCCAACCGCTCCAGTCATATTTTCAGAATGGTACCGGGTTTTTTTTAATAGCTAACAAGATTTTTTAGAGAATTTTTTTAAAAGTTTACATCTATCTGTATTCAAAATACGGAGCTTGTTTTTAAATTTGATTGTTTATAAAACAATACTAAGGAAACCGAGGCACTAAAACTCATCGACATGCCTTAAATATACATGTATATATCTACACACAAATTTGAAATGCTTAATCATTTATGTTGATTGATAGAACAAAATTCTAAAAAAAAAATATTAATGGGCTTTAACTTCTTCGTTTTCAGAAATTGAGAGATTTTCTTGGAAATCTTTGCGTGAAACGCACTTTCAGAAAACAGCATAACATCATACATCATATACACACTGCGGATGATTAATACGCCACATTCAACTGCAATCATCTAACAGATAGATACAGCAGGCAAAAACTGTGATTATAATGGATGGGGAACTGGTTATAATGGTTTTGCTTACTTGTCTTGGAATATTTTCTGCAAATGCAGGTTTGATCTTTTTTGAATAAAATTAATACAGGTCTATCCATGGTCGTCAGTATGACTATGAAATCATAACCGATGTATTTAATTTTCCTAACTTTGGAATTTTTCTGTTTGTTTCTTGAGTAACTGTTTCTTGATTAACAATATTTCCTGTAAGTATAATCTGTAATCTCATTTGCATTGATTTGATGTATGCCTCAAAAGAGACTTTGAAATATTCTGTCTTTTTGATACATTTGTGAACGGTGGATGGGTGATACTTTCCTCCTCTATGCACTTGGTCCCATATGTCGGGTTTTGTTTTGTACTGTTCAGAGATATATGTATTGATGTAGATTTTATGAGATATGTGTATGTCGTCCTCTTCTCTGTTGTCATTACTGTACATATCTTCAACGCAAGTGTTTCCATTTGTTTCCTTAGTACACTGTAAGAATCCTTTAGAATATATAATAATAAATGGTTTTAGACAGTCAAAAGACTTTTTTTCTGAAATAATCCAAGAGAAAGGAAACAATAACTCTCTCTCTCTCTCTCTCTCTCTCTTTCTCTCTATGATAAAACCTTACTTTTTTTCAGCAACGGTAACGGTTTCTCCAAACGTCAAGGCTACCAAAGGAGACACCTCTGTGAAGTGCCCTAATGGCTTTGTAAGATACGAGGAATCCTGCTACAGCTTTCACTCCGAGGCATTCTCCTGGCCAGAGGCTCTGGTTTGTTGAAGTTGTGTCTTGATCTCTTCTAGTGACTGTTATCTTTTTAAGGTGAAAGAACTGAAACCTTCTCGCAGGACCCTCACATAAATAAGAGGCAACCTATAAGTGCTTATAAATCATAGTCAAAATGGAATGAAAAATGGATCCAGTAACTGTGTGTACTACCTTCTCTAACTTAGTTGCAATTTATAATTCTATTGTTTAATATTTAATATAATGAAACCGATCACATTTCTTTTTAAGGTGTTTTGTCAAACATTCAAAAACACTCTCGTGACCTTAAGATCAACGGCCCAATATGAATTCCTGCAAGGCATTTTGGCAACGATCACAGGTAATTGAATATCTTGCATATTTTTTCAAACTAAGCATTTTGTGCCAAAATATTGTAGTAAAACTATTATAGTTTCTATACGACTTTTTAAAACCTAGGCTATACATAGGTATTTTCATTTGATTAGTTTTAAAGTCCCTCTGAAAAATTTTCTATTGATAATAAGACATTTTTAGCTCACCTCGACGAAGTCGAGATGAGCTTATGCTATACCCCCGGCGTTGGCGTCGGCGTCCCAGGTTAAAGTTTTAGGAGCAAGTCCATTCCCAAGTAACTATTAGCCCTATCTGAACTAAACTTGCATGGATGATGCATCTAGGGATGTACACTACCAGACTTGCTTCGAATGCTGGATCTGACCTACAATTTCTAGATGAGTGACCAGGTTAAAGTTTTTGGAGTAGGTTAAAGTTTTTGGAGCAGGTCCATTCCCATTAGGAACTATAAACCCCACCCGGACCAAACTTGCATGGATGATGCATCTAGGGATGTACACTACAAGACTTGCTTCGGATGCTGGATCTGACCTACATTTTCCAGATGAGTGACCAGGTTAAAGTTTTTGGAGCAGGTCCATTCCCATTAGGAACTATAAACCCCACCCGGACCAAACTTGCATGGATGATGCATCTAGGGATGTACACTACCAGACTTGCTTCGGATGCTGGATCTGACCTACATTTTCCAGATGAGTGACCAGGTTAAAGTTTTTAGAACAGGTCTATTCCCAAGGAACTAAAAGCCCTTCATGGATAAACTTGCATGGATGATGCATCTAGGAAAGGACACTACAAAACTTGCTTCAGATGCTGGATCTGACCTACATTTTCCAGATGAGTGACCAGGTTAAAGTTTTTGGAGCAGGTCTATTCCCAAGGAACTATAAGCCCTACCTGGACCAATCTTGCATGGATGATGCATCTAGGACAGGACACTACAAAACTTGCTTCGGCTGCTGGATCTGACCTACATTTTCATTCCTAAGTAATTATAAGCCCTAGCTAAACCAAACTTGCATGGATGATGTATCTAGGGATGTACACTACCAAACTTGCTTCGGATGCTGGATCTGACCTACATTTTCATTGCCAGGTAACTATAAGCCCTAGCTAAACCAAACTTGCATGGATGATGCATCTAAGGATGGACACCACCAGACTTGCTCCGGATGCTGGATCTGACTTACATTTTCATTGCCAAGTAACTATAAGCCCTAGATAAAGCAAATTTGCATGGATGATGCATCTAAGGATGGACACTATCAGAGGTGCTTCGATGCTGGATCTGACCTATATATTCCATACAAGAGACTACGTTAAAGTTTTGGGAAATTTAGGTCCAAATGAACTTGAAGTCCTTGATATCTGCAGTATTATTAGTTATGAATATTTGTTTACACGATACACGTTTTTCACGCTACATGCATAGAAATGTGTATATGCCATGTAAGGGGTTAAACACAACTTGCAAGAATATTGTTGTTGGGATAAATACTTAATATTAAGAAAATATGATGTGAGATTAGCATTACTTCAACTAATAAAATTCGTCGAGGTGAGCTTCGTAATCTTTGATTACCTATGTTCACTTGCTGGTAGAGGACTGCCAATTCAGATCTGTTATTAGCAGTTTAACTCTTTGAACTGTATGGCATTTTTTATGCCAGCACTGTGGCAACGCACTTTGAAAAAATTACGCACTTTGAAAAAAAAATTCAAAGTGCGTTAAAATTTGGACAAAATCAACGCACTTTGAAGTTTTTTTTTTTTCAAAGTGCGTTAAATTTTGGACATACTCAACGCACTTGAAAAAAAATATGTAAACACAAAAAATTTGGATATAGATTTTGGTAATGGAACGATTCTATTTCAGTGTTATTTATCTGGCAAAAAACTTGTTTTGCTCCCGTCGAGAAGAGGAAAAGCCGGGAAGATTTTTTTAGCCTAACTCTTTTTCTTTCAATACACAGGCGTCGGCAACAACTCAACCTACCTAAAATGGATATGTATTTACATTACCGGTATGACGTTAAAAACTATCAATAATTGTATTAACTTAAAGCAGATGAGAAATTTTTAAGCACAGTAAAACTAATGAGAAAGAATTTTCATAGTCTTGAAAAATCAGAGTACCCCTTTTTATGAAGATAAATGGCTATATGCTTTTACCCAACCCCTTACTTCCTACATCTATTTATTAAAGAGTCAGCTCTATCTAATCTAAAGGACCCATTCCCGTTTTATAATAACTGTATTACGTATCAAAATCTTAAATATTTAAAACATTATTATCTCTGGTCCTGAAGTAATCTTATCACCAAAAAGTTATCCAACCAGGGTCAATTATTTATCAAACCGATTATTTGTAAGAAAATTGATCAAGCTTTACATTTTTAGCTCACCTCGACGAAGTCGAGATGAGCTTATGCTATACCCCCGGCGTTGGCGTCGGCGTCGGCGTCCCAGGTTAAAGTTTTAGGAGCAAGTCCATTCCCAAGCAACTATAAGCCCTACCTAAACCAAACTTGCATGGATGATGCATCTAGGGATGTACACTACCAGACTTGCTTCGAATGCTGGATCTGACCTACAATTTCTAGATGAGTGACCAGGTTAAAGTTTCTGGAGCAGGTCCATTCCCAAGGAACTATATGCCCTACCGGGACCAAATTTGCATGGATGATGCATCTAGGGATGTACACTACCAGACTTGCTTCGGATGCTGGATCTGACCAACATTTACCAGATGAGTGACGAGGTTAAAGTTTTTGGAGCAGGTTAAAGTTTTTGGAGCAGGTCCATTCCCAAGGAACTATAAGCCCTACCCGGACCAAATTTGCATGGATGATGCATCTAGGGATGTACACTACCAGACTTGCTTCGGATGCTGGATCTGACCAACATTTACCAGATGAGTGACCAGGTTAAAGTTTTTGGAGCAGGTCTATTCCCAAGGAACTATAAGCCCAACCTGGACCAAACTTGCATGAATGATGCATCTAGGAAAGGACACTACCAGACTTGCTTCAGATGCTGGATCAGACCTACATTTTCCAGTTGAGTGACCAGGTTAAAGTTTTTGAATTAGGTCTATTCCCAAGGAACTATAAGCCCAACCTGGACCAAACTTTCATGGGTGATGTATCTAGGGATGGACACTTCCAGACTTGCTTCGGATGCTGGATCTGACCTACTTTTTCATTCCCAAGTAACTATAAGCCCTAGCTAAACCAAACTTTCATGGATGATGTATCTAGGGATGGACACTACTAGACTTGCTTCGGATGCTGGATCTGACCTACATTTTCATTGCCAAGTAACTATAAGCCATAGATAAACCAAACTTGCATGGATGATGTATCTAGGGATGGACACTACAAAACTTGCTGCGGATGCTGAATCTGACCTACATTTTCATTCCCAAGTAACTACATGTATAAGCTCTAGCTAAACCAAACTTGCATGGATGATGTATCTAAGGATGGACACTATCAGACTTGCTTCGGATACTGGATCTGACCTATATTTTCCATACAAGAGACCAGGTTTAAGTTTTGGGAACAGATCAATCAAAAAGAACTTGAAGTCCTTGATATCTGCAGTATTAACAGTTATGAATATTAGTTTACACTATACATGTTTTTCACGCTACACGCATAGAAAGTGTATATGCCATGTAAGGGGTTAAACACAACTTGCAAGAATATTGTTATTGGGATGAATACTAAATATTAAGAAAATATGATGTGAGATTTGCATTACTTTAACTGATAACATTCGTCGAGGTGAGCTTCGTAATCTTTGATTACCTATGTTTTTCAAAGTGCGTTTATATGGTCGATATTAACGCACTTTTAAAAGAAATTTTATTTTTTCAAAGTGCGTTAGCTTGGTCCCAAATTCAAAGTGCGTAATTTTTCAAAGTGCGCTGTAACACAGCACCCTTTGCTTCACGGGACCTTGAAGTATTTGAGGAATTTTTCTCCTAGTTTGCAGTGTAAGTTGGATTTGAACCTGCGACATGAAAAGAACTCCTTACTCTGCTAGAACAAAATTAATGCACTATTCAAAGCGCCACCTGGACGACTTCAAAACAATATACCAGTTAAAATAATCTAATAATTTGTGGTATATACACGTTAAGGCAGTTCCTTTAAATATGTATCTGTGTCAAAAGAGTTCTTGTCAAATCCATATCAAAGAACAAGGTACAGTTTCAATACAAATTATGCCCTATATTTTTCTATAATATGAAAGTAATATAAGAAATTAAAAGAGCCATAGCCGCCTTACCGACGACACAGCCGACTCAAGTATTCAAAAGGAAATCACCTGTTGCTATTTATAGATACATGCACCTTTTGAATTCAAGATCAAACTACAATGTTTGTAATCATTTGTGGACCAGTGTTATATATTCATAGTTGCACATTTGTTATATGACAATCATTTTACTTGTTCAATACTCTTATTCTAAATAAGATTTTAGAAAATTAAAAAAAACAAAAACAAGCAGTTATGACTTTGGGTCATTAAAATAGTTTAGGACTGATTTTTTCCCGAAATACTTTCAAAATGTAATGGTGTATTATATACCTCTTACATTATTTATACATGTATTATAAAATAATAAAAGAAAACATTGAAAAAATGCACAGGAAAAATAATAAAAGCATAGTTAAGAAACCTACACTTTGAGACTCGAACTCACATTCATTATCTCTACAATCCAGCAATCATACCACTATGCCACGAAGTCATTTTAATCGGATGGACAAATTTAAGGTCAAGATCTAGTAAATGAAAGGTGCCTACAGATTTATCAAACTTGAGAAATAAATTCTATTGATGCTTTACAACTTAAGCTTGGTCAAATAAGATGTTTCGGGGTATAGTTTGTAGGTTAACAATATAAAAAACTATATTTCAAACTGTCATTTTCAATGAAAAATTAAGAAAACCAGTCATGAATTTGGGAGTTTTTTAAAATTCGACAAAGGAAATGTATCCAGATTGCCTACAGTCTCTCAGAAAACGGTAATTAGT